TTGAACGGCTATCTGTACTTGATCATTCTGAAGTGTAACAGAAGCCAATATCCCAGTAGTTACAATACTTTCTCTTCTGTAAGTCTTTCGAATTTCTAAAGAGTGTACAAAATCTAACCCAGTTAACAGATCAGGCCACTGTAAATACCTAATATTGGAAAAAGATGCACCTACTTGATTAATGAATATAAGAAATCTCCCCAGAAGTATTTTACACGATAGGGATGAGTAGCATAGACAGATCATGATGAATTGGACAACTAGCTGCAGGTACGATCAGTTTCAGCGTGGTATTCCTAAGGACTCGTGATCTACACAGATAAAAGAAAAGAAAAAGATGCACAATTTAAATAATTAAACTATTCAGTTCAGTTTTCATGACCACAATAACCTTCCGGGTCACGGTGGCAGACGCGTCAGACAGTCCAACCTTCTTGATCCTGTGCCAGCGTTTGAATATAGGCAGAAAACAACCGGAATCTATAGCACAGCTCTTCGATACACGTGCCTCAATTTAATCGTGACTATCAAATTGTTTTCGGCCGGTCGGATTTGCAAGTAGTAGTTGCGTTGCCTTTCTTCCTGAATACCATGCATTGGCACTCGTCCCCAAACCATTGCAACTATGACTTTGGAACCTGGAGAGAAACAGCGGTTGTACTAACACTAATATATACCCAAAACAAAATATAAAGATGGCTACAGCCGGCCTACTGCCGGCAGTCACATGGCATATAAAAAATCATATTTTTAGTATTCAAACTTGCAACATCTCAGAATTGTAAACTATAACTGATAATTGAAGTAACACGTAGAATATCCCACTATTCGCCTGATAAATACTGATGCCATTCAGCCAACGATCACTATACGAAACACCCTACGGTTATTCAGTGTCAATACTTACCAGGGATAACACAACAACTGGTTTAAAGTCCAACTGTGAGGTACCGAATACAAAACACGATCTTTTTCCGATGAGGGGAAAATAAGCTAAAGAAAAACCCGTAATCACTTTTGTAACATAAAGCTGAACGCAATACTTGTAAATCTGCCAATGTGTAGTTATGGTTTTCATCCCACGGTGCTGACGTTGCAAACATGTGCTCTAAGTGTTGCAAAAAACTAAAAATGAAGATTTAGTTTAAAAACTAACAACGAACGGTTAATGATTCCTCAGAGAGTCTGTTCCTTCAAAACGGCGCTTTGGAAGTTATTCTTGGGTCTTTGAGTTTGGAAAGAGAGTACTAACTGAAAGTAGGAATGACACCATGTCGCATTACACTGCTTACCTCAAAGTAATAAACATTAACTTTATTCTCCTGTTATGATCTACTGACCAGGTGAAAGCAACCTAAAAATATACCTGAAACGCTTGGAAAGCTGAACCCTTGCCATGATATTTAGTATCGATATGCTTCATGAATGCAGGAAAGCTGATAGCACTTTACATGGAAGTGATCTTACGTAGAAGTTTCCTCAAACTTTTCCACCAATTCTGATTGGTTATGCTCTGGATACAAGAACAATACAGGCCATTCCAAGCAATTCTGTGAATTCAGCCGTACTCGAACCCCGGCTCGCAACGGAATAGCCTCCACTTCGATATCGCTCCATTCGAAACTTTTCGAAATTGGGATCCCGTTACGGTCGTAGAATTTGATACCTCGCTTCTGAACAAAAGGTTGCAAAAACATTAAAGCTAAAATTAAAAAAATTAAACCTTGATGGCATTCAAAAGAGCTAATTTTTCCTGTTCCATCAACCGCTGCTTAATGGCTTCTTTTCGAGAGTCTCTTTGAACACGAGACCTAGCTTCTTCGACCTGCGCAAAAAGCTTGGACATTTCCAGCTGCCTACATTTTCCATCTAAAGCCTTCAGATCAGTCAGCCATTCCAAAGCACTGTCAGGATAATTCAGCTTTATGAGACATTTTACACCTATAATTTATTACACGGTGTAAATTTTCTGGCGTGAATCACTCAATATTGAGACAGAATATGCAATGCAGTAACAATTTTTCGAAGCAACACCATAAAGCACCTTATTAATTAACAGTCAGGCTATCAGAGTCATGCTTTTCAGTACGAATACTCCACTACTCCATTTTCAGATAGTAATTTCATTTACAATTGCGATGGCACCCGTTTATTCACTGGTGTTAAAGGGAAATAGTTTATGCTGGTTCAGACATCGGTCTCTAATATTTTCGCGATTTACGACGCCTTGTTTTGTAAAGTATCCCACGCAATACTGATTTTATAACATCAGTTAAGAGTACCTTATTTTTGAAGGCGAAATCCAAGTAGTCCCTACAGAATAAGGTTGACTCCAACGCTGTAGGAACCTAACCTATGACCCATGGTCATGCCATAATCTATTCATGATCTTTGCAACAGTAGCGAACGATACCTAATACAAATCTGAGACACCACTGCAAATTCGGTAATCAAAAATCTGGGCAACTGAGTTGTTCAGGTTTGGTCAGCCTCAGATGACGAAGACAATAACAACACTCGTCTATCTACCTCAGAAAAAGAAAAGATAAATAATCCAGCGAAATTTCAAACACAACATTTGAACAGCTAGTGGCACGTTACTGCCTGAGTCATCGCGACTCTGCAAAGAAACGAGTTCCAGGTATAAACAGGTGGGTGTTTAAAAGTAAAGGTATTTGCGAACAGAGGTTTCAAGACTGTCCACTGCCTTCCGGATAAGAAGAATCTTCAACTAGACATTTATCTTAATTTCGTATGCGCTCGACGGTTCCAAACAACAATGGGTACGACTGTCACTCGAGTCGCGAATTGTGGATTAAAAATAATTTTGTTGATTTCAATCAAACATCTGCGGCCAAATCAACAGGTCCGGATCAGCCTAAACATTTTTTTATTCAGGGCTTGCAGCAACGTCGCACTTTCAATGTCAGTCAAAAACCTGGCACTGTTTCTGGAGGTACAAGTGAAGATACAGAGCGCAGCGCTGGCTTCAGCATCGAAAAGATTAGCATGCAACTGCTGCACAGCAGTGGTGTACGGTATTCCGTAGTCGGACTTTGGAACATATGGCATCATGGCCTATGTCGTTCTAGCCACCTTCCAAACGACGTTCATCCTAGAACTGGTTTTCTTTCCCAAACTGATCTTTAACAGTTTGGATAGTTTTAAATAATTAAGCTGATCATTAAAGAAACTCTCGGCCCTACTAAACTTTATAAACAGGAAAAAAGTCGATATTAGCCTATGACTTTATGAAATACGTTGGACTCTGAAATCTGATTCATGGTTAAGCGGTTTGCATTAAAAAACCTGGTATTATTGGTTCGAAATTTGGCAATCGTTGGAGCCTTATCGTGAATTACATTCCCAAAAAACACTTTGCTCCTCTACGTAACAGTCTTCGAAATCTCGTCGCACAATTCGACTATGAGATCTAAGTTATTTCAGTGAAGACAGACCACTTTAGAAGACCATTCATAGCATCCTTAATAAGCATTCTGAAAAATCCTCAAGCCGTTAAATAGTGCATCTGACCGTGCTCAGCGCTGTTTGGAAATTTATATTGCTTTCACCAGTTTTTTTTACTATTACTGTTCGACACTTTTTTGTTTTGCTGATCCATTTTCTTCCTAAGCAGTGAATCTGTGAATCCTGTCAGACTATTTACCCCTTGTACTGTTTTGTGGTAAAATGCAAAGCCAAAAATGCGTATATATTGTGATATGGTCCCATTTGTGTAATGAAAAATCAAATACAGCGCCTATGTCATTCAAGCAGTAAAATTTTAAAATTTGAAAAAGCAGCAGCGAGAAGGCTTACCGCGAAGAATAGACTTGGCGTTTTCCGGGTTGAGTTTCCTCGAAAAGTAACAGTCTTTCAACGCTGACCGATAGTTCTCTAAACAATGACTGTAAAAAGTGTGTGTGCTGTAAATTCGACAATACAACAAAGAAATTTCAGAGCTGAAACATCGGACAAAAGGTAATGAGATATTAGCTTAACTGTAAATTTATTGGTAAACAATTTCAGTAAGTCAGAAGCACCTTGCTAAAATATGGTCCTCCTGACCGGATGGCGCTTAAAAGTCACGGTTTGCGGCCACTACAGCACACGTTTTTCAGTCACCAATGCAGCCGCAAAATATGTCAAGAAATTTTTCATCAGCTCATCGCCAGCCTAGAATTAGTTCATCTCTTTGTTTTTGGATGCTAGGTACCACCCTTCATTTACTTCGGCCTTTGATCTTCGCTGGCTTACCGAAGAACGATTGTCGAATACTACCGAGAGAAAGATTTCTCGCATTCTGGAATGGAGGCGTGGTGACAAATTTGCTAAGAGGTCGTTCTGAACTCTGGAGGTGTCGGGTTCAAATCCTCTCAAGGAACAATTTTTGTATGTAACACGAATTTCACTGGCCCAACAATTAACTCCGTTTCTTTGGCTCAACCAGCTGAGAAACGATTCGTAAGTCGGTGACTTGCGAATAATAGGGACAGCATGTCAGAATAAACGAGATATATGGCTCTGTTGTCCGATGTGAGCGCTCCTTGTGGTTGCCCCTTGTCTTGACCCAACTGATAGCTGCATATCCAGCGTAATAATCAGCACAAGGTATAATCCCCATTTCAATAAGCAGAATCGGCGCCGATGAAATAGAACATCGAATAACAAAACAACGGTCACGCAGCACGTCTTCTACGGAATACGCTGCTGCTCAACTCTAGCACCCATCGCGAACGAAGCTTCCGAGCATCTGGAACATCGAAATCGATATAAAGCTATTCCGGATCGTATCGAGCTGTGTTTATGGCAATTACCTTTGCTCAAGCAAATAAACGAGACTGAATAATGAACCAAGAAATACCACCAAATAAGACTACGGTAAATAGGAAAAGAATAAAAATTCCATGCCCTGGATGAGTGACAATAATATTCTAACGAGTGACAGTTCTAACCACGGATTTCGAAAGACAGAATGACTTGGACGCATTTGTATCTGTCCATTACAGAAAACATCATATGCATATTGACGTCAGAATCGTTGGCAGTGGCGTATGGTCGGCATTCCGAAAGTTACGCCAACAAACCGTAGCCTCTGGCGATGGCACATTTTGTTCACTTACTGAAGCAAATCTGTCTTCTATCTAACTAAATTTATCTTAAATAAGACCTAAGTTTGTGAATCTGGGACTGTAGTTATATAGACAGGTAGTTGAACGACTCGTGGTTCAGCGCACCATATGCAGCAGATTGCGCATTTTGCTCCATACACCGCAGTATCATCAGAGATGGGCACAAATGGCTGCTTGAAAGCATTCATATCTAACAAGCGAACAATTCTATGGTCTTCCAATTGTCACATACCTTACAAACAAAGTGCTGCTAAACTGCTTCAGCAGAATGATAACCAACAAACACAAAGTAAAGGTTACACTAAAAGTGAAATCAGATCTTTGTTATGTTTACCTGATTTGTTTATCATATTCGTGAAGGTACCCCAGCTTTGACAAATAACCACGAAATATTTATATCCACTGCAATCCGATATTTCATTGCTAGTATATGCAAGAACTCTGTTACCAGCAGAGCTAATGCAAAATGGTCTTTGTCTATGACAGATACATTTGTCTGACTGAAAGAGTGCCCTTTCGTGATGGCATACAGGGAACTACCGGAACTTTCCTTTTGTCCAAAGCGTACCGCGTACCGCAGTGCTCTCTGATCCCGGTGTTCAACTTTCGGTAGGTCTTCTAATGTAACCGTATCGCAATCTCCACACTGCACTTTGTATGCAACATTTAACGCCTCATCCGGGTTTGTGGGCATGTACTTCTAGAATAAAACGTTGCCAAATATTCTGCCAGTTTTGTAGTGAACGCGAAACCTCATGTCATTAAGGTACCTCCTGATATGTTGAGATACCTGGGGTATAAACGATAAAATTACCATTGGTTCACATGGAAGAGGCATCGTTAAGTTCGAGCTTGGGTGCAGAAGTTCTTCGTCAAGAATCCTCCTTCAGTAACCGTTCTTTGGAAATGCCTGGTGAAGAGGTTCAATTTCTGCGTTTAGGCCAGAAGTGATAGAGTAGGTTTCTTCGGGTTGCAACGTTCCTACCCAAACTAGGAGTGACGCATGACACCGGGTGGAGGTATCGATTGAACTGGGTTGGTTTCCGATTAACGGAAACCTCCTATTAAAGCGAAAGTGTCCTCTTCATCAGCACGACCAGAAAGGATATACAGAAGTTAACTTCCGTTTCCGTGATAAAGCATTTTCGGCCACTGCCGTTTCGTCTAATCATTAAATCAACGAAGTCTTCCAACCTTCGTTGTAACAATAGGAAAATGTCATCAACGAATCGAACGTAGAACAGCGATTGGAATTCTGGTAGGCATTCACTAACAGCTCTTACTTCCAGGTGATTCCTGTAAAAATCCGTCAAAACAAAAGTTACTGAGAAATTTATCGGAACGCCCCATTTATCTGGTGGTAAGTATTATTTGCGAATTTGAAACTGGTGCCATTCGTTATCACGCCAAAGATTGGCATCAATTCCTCAACGCTGCAATTTATCAACACGCTTTTGGACGTCCTCCGCTCCTCTGCCATGTTCTTCGAGATGACGGATAGAATATTAGCAATTAAATTGGTGTTAACACTACCATGAAACAAACTTTATGATCATGTTCATGCAGTCTGGATAGAAACTCCTCCGTCTTTCAGTCTGCAAGCTATCCTCCTGATGGTATGTTTCAATAACAAATCAAGCTGTTTGGAAATCTGTTGTTACTCTTCCCGTAAAAGGTATGATAACAAGCAACGGGTTGCCAGGCTTATGGAACTTCACTAATCCATAAGGCCCTAGGTAACACAGGAATTAGTAGTGGGAAGGATCTTCCAGACGCATTCTGGGTGACGACACCTTTCTCTTCCTCAAATTCCTTAGAGCCTCCAGCAGCATTTGGCGACTTGTTTTGCCAAGTTGCTATTACTTCGCAGTTTGGTTTAAACATCGCTAATCCCGAAATGTTATAATATTTTCATTTCATTATCCCTTCCTCGGCATCACAACTCTCTTCGCCCCCTTGTCAGCGCAGAGGACTATCACGCTGTTATCTTTAATTTCTTCTCTAATCCATTAATGACCAAGGTTTGATAGGCGGTCAGAGTAGGAAAAGATTTATGGATGTTATTGCGCATAAAAAGGCCAACATTAGAGATAAATTTGTTCTTTAGGACTTCCCTGGAGTAAAGACCATTTTCTAAACCAACCACAACGTCCGAGATGGAGCCAGTAGGGTCAGCAATGCTGAAACGGGGCCCAGCGCAAGAAAGTCTCGTTTAGATTTGGTATATGAAATGTTGCTCTGATTCACTACAAGGCTGTCACGGAAATTCCGATGTGGCCACCTGCTACATTTGGGTACTTCTGTGGAGCGCGTAATCAGACCTAATAGCTTCCTTTACTGACAGGTGTGAACAGCGTTAAATACTTCCAATAATCTCGACCGATATTCATTTTGATCAATTGGAAGTACTGTTCAGCTACCCTTTCAGCAACCGCATTCCACAGATGAGCAACACAATATTCATGATAATTTCGTGATCGAAACACTCTCACGATCTCGTTTTTCACAAGCTTCTTTGAACATTCCCTCAAAATGAAATCTCCATCATCTTGAAGCTTCTTGTTGATAACAAAACTACCTTGAATAACGTCATTCTTGAGGCATGTCCTTAGAAAAAATAACTGAACTTCAAATGTGGGCTAGCCGAAGCTTCTCATATTTCAACTCCTTCAGTACGTCAGCTAATTTACGACCATATCGATTATATAAACATGACTTGAGGTCTAAATCTGTCATAGTTGTTTATTACCTTTTTAACTTATTACGAGCATTAATGAAACAAATTTTAAAGACATCTTTCCACCATTAGCAAATCAACACAAAAAATAACTAAAACAATTAATTACCCAAATAAAAATGAGCTGCAGCACGATTTCCGTACAACGCACTGACCAGCTGTTTATCAGAAGGATCGAGCCTTATTCCCGCGGTGTAACAGTCAATTGCCTGATGATATTTTTTCTGCTGGAAGTTTCGATTGCCGTCCTCCTTGTATGCCAAAGCACGTACTGAAAATCGGAGTGAAATTCGAGTCTGGAAAAGGTTATATACACAAGAGAATTTATGCAAATCGCCATCTTCAAGAAACAACTGCTATTAAACAGTGGTCCTAAGGAAATCAGTTGCTATGGAATTTACTGGATAAGTCTAAACTACATATCGCATTCTTCCAAGCTTAAAGCATGACGATTCTCACTGAGAAAAAATATGATTTCATACACCGCGGCGAGTTAATAAGTGCATTACCTCCAAAATCAGATTTTAAGGCGCACTACGCAGTGCTTTGCTCACAGTTGCTTAGATGAGGTATCTAAACAGTCACAGCTTCATTATATTTAAGCATCTACACCTCATATCATTACATTTGCTGGAGCAACCTAAATGCTTATCAAGAAGTTAGATCTTTGAGGAGTCGTATGCTTGTTAATGAGCATTATAGACTTAAGCAGCAAGAATTGATACCAACATAACAAGCCTCAGAACACAATATCAAAAGCAATGGCTGTTCCTTATAAAATCCGTCAAGACTGAAGCCATGCGATAGATTTATGGATTTCAGGAAACGCCAGGTAAACCTAAAAATATAATCTATCTTTACAAAAGAATCATGAACTTCACCGTAGCTACTGCTATACATTTCATTCTAATTATAAACCAAACCATAACTGAAGATTTACTGAAATGAGTGAAGATACTTGTACATCACTGCAATAAAATATAATTAGGAGTATCATGGAGAACAAACCTTCAAAAGTGTCCTCCTCGTCGTCGTATTTTAACGATTGCAATGCTTCAATGTACTCGTTGCCATCGAAATTTTCCGGAAGACTTGACATAAACGCAGGATGGGAGTCCAACTCCTGAATTTTAAGAAGAAAAATTTAAAAGAAACGAAATCAGGATGACTCAAAACATACCTTTGACCATTCATCAAAGTCAAACGATTTTTGCTGAGTTGTAGCGGAAGACCTTGCAAGATCATGATCCTCATCACTCGAAGAATCCATATATCAACTAAAGCTTAGAGTACATGATACTCTAGAAATCACAAGTATACCACAGAATACGAGACTGCCTTCAATATCCTGATATTTCTCTGGTTCTCTTGATCTAGACGGCTTCCACTAACTTTTAATTTACGGGTTACGCATAGAATCATCATGAGTCAGAAACTTATGCGACTAAATTTAAGCCAGAAATGATAAAAATTTATGGTAAGTGCAAACTACTACGATAATTTCTCATATATAAACAACAAAAACAAAACTGACGTACATTTGATTTTAATGACCAAATTTTACCGCTCGACTACCGTATTTTATTAAAGATTGGCAAGTAATGTTAATATAACATTATCAAAAATAAGTGTTACAGGTTTGACCTGAACTCTCAGTAAAGACTCTATTGTTTGACATTTTCAATGATTGAAAATTTACTAAGCAAGCGCAGCCAGAAATTTTAATTTCCAGTCTCAATTTGACAGATTCTAAAAAAGTGTAGGGTTAAATAAATGTAAGGAATCGAATAAAGCAGCAAAGGCGTAATGAAAGGCGCACACACTGAAAGCAATCGAACCCTGTTGCAGAGTCACAAGCCGTTTAATGTGCAATCTGCAGTAGCACTATGTTGAAAAATTTGTCTGTACTTTATTGTTAAACTACTACTAACTTTGAATTTGTTGTTCATCCCTAATGCCTGTGCTACCTAAAAGCAATATTTTGAGGGGATCGCGGCGGAAGGGGTTTTGGTTTGCTTTGAATTCTAAAGGTGCGGAGTTAAAATCCAAAGCGCGGTACTTAAATGTTTCTTATGAACTGTACATTTCACATCGCTTTAGTTGTGACTTAATCTTTGAGGATGTGTCTATTACTCATGACGTTGTCCACGAAGTGAAATCAGCCGAAGAACAGAAACTGTAGAGAGCATTTTTGAAAGACAAAAATTGTTTTTTTCCTCGTAAGTGTGTGTTCCCATTGCTAAACTACGGGTTGGAAACGTTGATTCTGGGCCTATAATCTGCTTATAAATTGCAATACGCAGAATAGTACGGAAAGATACATAGTTCTAATCTTTAAGAGAAGATGGCAAGACAAATAAATGAACAGAACGGTCAAGAGTCTGCAGTATCATTGCCTGAGCGAATCAGTTAAAGTGACATTAAGCAGGACACGTTGCAATCCTCGCTTGACGAAAAACGTATTACATTTGAAAAGAAAACCCATAAGAAGACTTCCAGATCGATCGAAAGATGAGCTGCGGAAGACTGCTGGATAAAGATGGCAGAAAGCAGAAGTCTATGCAAAGTCCTGGATAAACCTTTATAGAGCAGAGCAACGACGATAAAGGTTGATGACGATAACGGGTAATTCTCCTGAGCAAAAATTTAACCCATTGTGCTTCAATGCGTGCAGCTGAGAAAAGTTTGGCAAATCACTAACCTGGGAACAATAGAAACAACGCAGTCATGCCAAAGGATGCAGTACGGCCTCCAGCTTGATAGCTGGTTAAAAATCAGCTCAAAGTGTAAACCTTAAATTAACCATAACATACTTTTAGCGACCTTCTTTAAGCAGTTAACTTTAAAAAAACTTATACGCTATTAAAGTAAAGATAAATAATGTTAAAATTAATCCATTAAGCTGCTATGCGAAGTCCGCTGGATGACATTAACATGAGGATAAAAATGGGGGTTGGCTTTCCTGTTAAAGTCTTTCTGCAATCAAATGTACTGCATTATTCATCCTAACTGAATGCCATGATTTGTGGTTCGACTATACATTTCCTCGATCCCTCTCAATTGTTTGAATTTCATCGATTTTGTATTAAATTCGCCGATGTTGCCATCTTTGCGTTATCATCCGTTTGCCGTGGTCATGATAAAGCGCCTGCTTCATGAAACTGCAGATTAGAGCTGTCGTGACGTTGAACTGTTTTGCTATCAGTAGCGTTGCCCAATAAATTGTTGTTCATGTGCTCCACTGTCTGTTTCTAAGCCATCGCCAAAGAGATTGAGGCGATGTTCCTTGCTATATGCTTATAGCTGGTACAAGGCGCAAGTGGCTGGGTAACCAGACAGTCATTCTATGACGATTTACGTAAGTAATGGAAGATATGGCACTCCGTTGGAGCAGCGAAGTATAAAAAATTCTTTGCTCAGTGCAATCAGCATTAAAACGTTCATCGTACATAGTCTGCCGATAACATATAGGACGGACGATGCGACAGGACCGTCGCTGAATGATTGTTATCGAATGTTTAGTGATCACTTACACTTGTTTTGATTGCGAATTAATACCTTCTGACATAGGCCATTTACTTTGGTTTCAGAAATGCACTTTTTATAATTAACTTCTTAATACAGATTTCGTTCGTTTTCTTTTAAATGCAGAAGTCATGCTACTATGAAATTTCGATCGGCGTGATTGACTTTCATTCTGTTTGCATAATGGCTAAAAATTTTACATTCCTCATTTGCATGGATGCTAGGTTAGAGGAGTAAGTCACAATAGCGTTTACGAGCTTTTCCTATCGCGAAGACACAGTCGTTACTTTCTTGCAAGAATAGAAAGACCATAGAAAGTTCAGAGACTTGCATCCAAATAGTCTTGCGTACACATAATTCTACATGAACGCAATTTTATTACTGACGATCGATTCTTTCTTTGAGCGAGATTAGTTGAGAATGTCAACTTACTTTATCAGCTGTGCGAGTCTTATGAATGATTCTAGCTTCGCGGGTTCCTTCTGGCATATTTCCAACGTTGATAAGCTGCATTTGAAACTACTTAATCGTTATCTAATGATGTGATATCACTCTGATTCGTTGTCATCCAGAGCACACATTAGAATGTAAAATCTGTCAAATTATTTTATTCATGATGAATCTGCAATGAATTCACGAGAAAAGCAATAGGGGCATGGCATTTTGTGTGGAACAATATAGACGGGCAATCAGAATCAAACAATGAACAATAAAGTGTCCTGAATATTTCAATATTTTCATATGTCACGGTGATTGATCAGAGGCATGAAAAACGCCCTGCTGATCACGAAACTTTATACTGCAGCTAACAGTGGCAGCAGTTATGGAATGTGTACCGGCTCTATAAGTTACCGTGGTATATCCAGGGCATGGAAAGTGATCAGTGGCCTTTCTCACGTTCATGCTTTTCAGCATTTGGTTCTCTTGTACCATACGACCATTGCATCGTGAAAATGAATGACTCGTGTTTGTTCAGCTGAAAAGTTGGTATTGGTAAAAATTTAATCGTTGTTGCGCGTGCAGTGAATCAATAAAATTGCTTTCTAGTTAGTTGCTGCCGTGGGCTAACGCCGAGCTATCGTAGTAATTTTAAATTGTGTTTAGGAATCAGAAGCAGGGCAATTTTACGAAAAAATCCATTTCTTACAGTTCTGGCTTTTCAACATAGTGTTTGATTACTTATAGATTGCGGAAGTCCTTTGATGTTTGATAATGGGTCAATGATGTCATTTGGCGCTTTCGTTGACTCATCAAATTTTGTGTTTCTAGACTGTTTCCTGCTCTTGACTTTTGAAAGCTGTCGTCTAACCGTTCTTCCATCGCCAGACATTTTGGTATTTGTTGGGTTCCATTATCGGACTTTGTTTTTTATTTGCACATGCGAAATTCCTATGGCGCCATGAAAGGTTATCAGTGACTGCATGCTATTTCGATGACATGATTCAGCTTGGTATTGGAGCGTTGGAAAACACTTTAAATACAAAAACAAAATTTTACTCATAAATTGAAATTGAGATAGCAATTGAGATATGTACATCAGAAAGAGCAAACATGTTCGCTAAGCGCGGATTTACTAACCCTCACTATCAAATCAGCCATTGGTTTATATGAATTTAGAGCGTGAGAAAACTAGTTGAGAGCCAAAGTCAAGCACTTGCACGAACCGCCTGATTTCAGAAATTCGGACATGTTCACATGGTGCACCTTAAATCCGTTTTCCTCAACGATCTTGGTTGTCTTCTCCGTGCCTTCGGCCATTATGATGTTGTTGTCGATGACCACGGCGTTGCAAGCAAAGTGGCACGTTTCGTCCTTGGGGACAACGAGCAACTTCATCGAGCTCTCAAACTCCTTCCTCGAAGCTTCATCGTATGCTAATGGGTTGAAGATGCCGATCTCGCTATTCAGTGGGCAGAACGTCGTGTCTATGTGGTAAAAGCGGGGGTCTATCAGATGTAGGATGTGGTAGTCGATCGTGGGGTCATTGAAGAAAGCCTTGATCTTTTCGTAAACTTTTTTGTCTGAGCGAAATCCATGGGCGGCGAAGAGTTTGTTTCCGGCATACAGGGCGTCACCGGCTCCCTCAAACGTCGTATCATCGCCACTTACCTCGTAACCGTTGTTCTTGAACCACTCTTCGAAGTACTTGCGCTCGCCTTGGCGTTGTGGGTACTTGAAACAGCTGAGCCACACTTTCTTCTTGCGCAGCAGGGCGGCATTCGCCGTAAACACCATGTCAGGCAGACCTTCGATCGGTTCGATAGTGACCACCTCGGCTCCGCATGCCTCAATCGTGCGTTTCAGCGTGTTCCACTGCTCCATCGCCTTCGCCCGGTCGACGCGCGACGATTTGTGCATCCACGGGTTGATCTCATAGGTGACTTCGAAATATTTTGGTGGGCACATTAAAATTTCCTTCATCCTGGCAACCTAGCTATCGTTGTCGATCAGTCACGAAACTAAAGTACAACATACGTCAATCAATCATATAAATCAATTAATATTTAATCTGATTGTCGAGGAACGGCATCAAGACTGCTTTTATTAGTAATGAATTAAGAATGCTGTGCGAAAGCAAACTTCACGAATTTAACATATTCGCGTGCACTGCTCGAGGAAACACAGTTGCAACTCAATGACAACGAACGGAGGGCAAATTCAGTAAATGTTTTTTCTGAAAGAACGGCTGTAAGAAATGACGGGAAAACTGTGGTTATTTATAAGTAAGGGCTACACCTCCTTCTTTTGATTCCACCAGTTCTCACATGCACAATAAAACCTATCTCATGGCATTCCAGAAGACTTACGCTATCCTTATGCCGAGGAGTGAGCCCGATCGTGCAACGTCGAATCCATTCAAGGCTGCTGACTAAGACACTTCAGAGAATGGATTTAAGGTTTGAAAGGAAGAAAACCTGCTTGCAAAGGCGAAAGACCGCCAGAAGCAGGCAGGCCAGTGAACCAGAAGCACCTAGGCGCTCTGCCGCCATCATCTAGAAACGGCACACATAGCCACAGCGTTTCGCAGCTGCCACAAACAGCAACAGCCAAGGCATCACCTCTACGCACAACATCCAACCAACTGCTTCCGCTTGCGTGTGCGCCACAGATCTTATGCATTTCTATTTACATGACAAAAAACGTATCTTATCGCCAAACTATTTCATCCACATCTCGGTGCATGTTTTGGTCACATAACTCGAAACCGCAAATGGTGAGCAATTGTTGTGCATACCTGTCTGTCAGAATCTTGAGGAACCTCGAGGAGTTCACATCAGCAGAACGTTTCGATTTGTGATGGCCGCTGCATTCCCAGTTATTCAGCACTTCCGTTGCAAGGCACCGATTACTGTATCGTAGAAAAAACAGACCCTCAGGGAATGTATGTCTGCCTTGACCTTGTTGCATGCTTGCCCCTGATCCGGTGTCTTTCGTGTTTTGGCTTTAGCATAAAAACTCTTTGACAGAGCAAATATTTTATGCTCAACCCGTTCTTGCCTGTTATTCTTAATCTGCCCAACTACTAAGGTTATATGTGCCCGAAAAAACGTAGAATCATTCGTTACGTAGTCCTGCCATTGATCACTCGCCCTGCGGAGAACCCAACGTCACTCTACGCCGTTCAACCGAAGTTTTTATTCTTTCATTGAAACAACCGTCTGGATGCGGTACAGCAACACAGAAAAAACCTATCCAAAGTTGAGGTAAATGTTATTGAAGGAGTTACCTTTTTCTGAGCTTAAATATTTGACAGGTTGCCGAAGGATTGGATAAAATGAAAGTCCGTCTCCGTTAGAATGTCAGAATGTCGCTCGTCTTTTCAAGCTATTTCAACGTCCTTCTTTTCATGAACTTGACGGTGCGGTGTCGATCTCCGTTGTAATGCCATGATCCAATAGTGCTTTATTTTAAAGACGAAGTCTTGTGGCAAGCGCAGTGTGTAGTCTTCTCTTTTTCTTACCACAAGGTACACAATCAAGGAGTGATACACCTCCGACTGACTCGCGTAGAGAAATGGTCTGAACTCGGCAACTGTTGGCTCTGCGTTTGACGCCCTGTCTATTGGACAACCCATATCTAAAGCAACGTGTGTGAATTGCTTGCTCAAGGGAATTCGTGAATATGACAAAGAGTGCCTTCGAGCGGAACAAACCCTACAGCCCCTAAGTTCGAAACGGGTCTAAGCGATCAATACAGAGGATAACAAAAAGATCAACCGACAGGACAAATACATTTACATAATCAGTTGATCATGGTGGGCCTACTTATAATAAACTTTTTTTTCGTTCTTCACGGTGTCTGAGTTGCAGCAACTACTGAAATTAAGGCTTTAGCGAAAATCATGCATTACTCGATCTTTTACCATATGAAAACTTAATTTCTTCATTTCCAAACTGCACATAAGTGTATAAAATATTAAAACAATTAACATCACATGACGCAGAAAGGGATTTATGTAAAGTAAGTAGTCACGTGCTGAACAGAAAACGGCGGCTTTGTTTGTTTACTTAAATTAGACCACGGCATTTAACGGATACTAGCCGCCTGTGAAAAACGCGTGGTCGACATGCGGATAACAATGGCTCAGTGTCAACTAGGAATAACAGACAACGTCATCTGACAAAACAGCCAAATTGCTCGTTTCGTCTATGATATTCCCCGGTTTGCAGTACGTAAAAAGGATTTCTGCTGGTAGTACGGCGAATGTGGATAGCAGCGATTATAGCACAGGTGTTTTTCCCTACAGTTACGAATCCTGGAACCTTGTTTTACCTAATCATGAGAGAGACGCAGTCATGACTGAATGTTGACAAAGAGGTACATTCCTGACTTTGGAACGTAACGCAGGTAGTTTTCAGGCTTTCTAAATGAGGAGTCACAGAAAGCTTCTCAATGGCATGATTACGTTCATTGTAACTCTTGCTAAACTCATCGAACTACCCTCCGTCAGTGACAAAAGCGACATCTATACAGTGTGGTCATGCAACGAGACTGCGACTCCATCAGAGGTTCCTACTCAGGGTATCGTCCACCGATTGCAAACGTTTGCAACTCAATTCCGCCATCGCTAACACGGACGAGATAGCTTGCTCGAATAAACCAATTGATTTTGACCTATTGAAGGTCGCAATCGGCAGAACCAAGATTCCTTGGCTCAGTAGTCTTCGTAGCCACCACATGGGACTGATAGTAAAGAGAAAAATTTCGTCTTCAGTTACTGTCACATATAACGATGAATGCACAGCCACAGGCTAGTAGCATTTCCTAAAATCTGCAAACAAGAACTTTTGCAACCGTTAGCTTTTCTAACATACCTGAATATGCGTTATTTATGGCAATCATTTTTCCGAGCAGTGGAAAGATTTTTGACTGTCACCTACATCAATCTTTCAAACGTGCAGAAAAATTATTTTTTAGCCTCGCCATCGACCCTTCAGGCAAATCTAGGTGACTGCCGGGCGGACTGTAGGAAAAGCCAATGTCTGATGGATGACGCTTAGGAATAGAATAAATGATAACACTCCATACATGACAACTTTCGCAACAATGTCTTTGGGATTGACTTTGGGTGTGACACTGTTCTCTCTAACGAATGTACTAATTTGAAAATAGGGTCATTCGTGCGACTCAAAAGGTCGAACTATAAGTTCGGTAAATTGAACTCTTCAGAACTGTTTCACGTGCGTTCGTCATCACTACTACTTGCATTTGTCATTTTATATGGCGTATGGCTCCTCAAAGGCCAGATTTCATGACATATCATATCGCCCTCTTGCTCTTAGATGGCCAGAGAAGGGGGAGGGTATTTCAGTTGGTCACGACTTCACGACAGTTGAGTACCTGCAGTGCCAGATTCATCACATCATTTTGTCGGCTAGAGCCACCTAACGCTCACCACAAACGATGTTTCAGGAGTTGAAATTCCTTTTATGCTACAGTATAGACATCAACCTGCTGAATCAATTTTTGTGATGAGCAGGAGACCGATAAAGCGAATAAAATTTTGCTGGAGACCTTTATCAGTGTATGTGCTAAAACACCAGTGAGCCGTAACTTGATCATCCCTCCTCTCAGCTCGCACGCAGGTTGGGAGCATGGGAACGACGCACTACGTCATGAATGCCAGTCGTGGATTAGACAAAGAACTGTCATATATCCCTGAATATGAGGCCATGCTTGTTATTGACTGTATGAATCACTATACATACACAACAACGGCAACAGACTACGTTTAACTACATGCTATCTGAAACCATACAGAAGAGTTGTGATTAATCCTTCTACAAAAATAACGTTACAGCATTTGTACTATTTCCGAGTAACAAACCAACCATGGAGCAATTATCCCCAAAAGAAAAATGGCAAAATGAAGACAGTTTCTCACTCCTTGAAATCCAATCCACGCAGTTCAGTTCATCTATTAGTATTGGATTTGGGGGGG